ACAATTAGAACGATTCAAATTCGTCCAGAGCAACAAAAACCCTACGCTGAACGCCGACGGGATTGTCTTTCAACCGCTTTTCGCCTCCTCGACCCTCCGATACCTGCATTGGGACGTTACGGGACCCGACTCTGCCGCCGGACTCGGCAGGCTCGATTATGCTCCGTTCGTGAAACCACCACGGCATACAGAATCACCAAATTCTCATTTGGCTCAGAGTATTCTGTCCGTGGGCTTCCCTCGTCTTGAAGCACTGCGAGCACCCTCGGATATAGAACCTCCCGGAGTCCTCCAGGCTGTATGCCAGCCGATACCACGCGGACAAGCACTGCTCAAGCCGGACCGTTACAGCCTTCCCCGTAGCTCCCACGGCTCTGTTACGACCCGACCAATGGCCCTGCCCGCGGGAAACAATCTGACCTCTGCTCGGATACGAGCACAGACTTTTATCGATATGGCAGCGAAGGACACGGAAACTGGAATGCGGCTGCTCATCACTGATCACTCGGATTCGTACGTTCCAGACAATGCATTGGACGAACTTTCCGATGATGGTTCCGACCTGGACATGGACGAGTTCGGCATAGGTGGTGTGCAGCCTAAGAACGATGTCTTGCCCGACGATCACGAAGGTCCGGTCACAGTGTATGACTTCCGGATGCCAGCCTTCATGGGGAGGATAGGATCTAGGACAAGTGACAAGGACATCTCAATCCCAAAGTTTATCCTTCGTCCGGACATACCAGGGCAGGATGGTGATGGGGGTCTAGTTGATTGGAAACATGTGCTGGCCTCCAGCCAGTCGCTCACGTATGCTGCTGGAGTTGGAGTGAATTGCTTTGGCGGCAAGGGCCACACTAAACCGGCCCCCGAGGAGCCACCATCGCCGACATCAACTACAACCTCACGCTTTGGATGGGGCAGCATCGGTAGTCGGTCCGCGCTGGGCACCAGTCCGAACACCCCTACAACACCAGCGACGCCGATGAGTCTTTCGTCTACAACGGCACTCCCTTGGGACCGGGATACCTGCACCGGATCTTGGAATTATAGCCACAAAAGTGGAAGGGACTGGTGGTTCCATATGGAACGAGACCGCCCAGGAAACGTCGAAATAGTCGACGTTAAGCGACTATTCTAGTCAGGTTGATGTACATCACCGGTGACGTGCATTTGGATTTTATTTTTTCATTGGTACTTTTATTTTTCTCAGGAATGGCATGCTATGGTACATGCTATCTGTTGGTATACACGCAGAAACGGCGTTTACGGATTGACGGACGGATGGACGATCTCATCAATTGTGGATATTCTTTTTCTTTATTTCTCTGGGCGTGTTTCTGGTCTCGACATACCCGGTGCAGCAGGGGTTATTCCCATCTCTATCTCATTAATTGGCATCTCTGACACACTCTCATTTTGGTGATTCTCGCTTACCGCATAGATTCCTATCATCTGGGTCATCTCCGTCTAATAGTGTTTGGCGCACATGGAAGGAATCGCACCGGCGCGAGCAACGCATCTTACATAATGCTGCAGCTTTTGTTTATATTGTATATCCATGTGCCTTCGTTTGTACAACTTATCATCTGGGGTGGCATTTGTCGTTTTTTACGTGTTTTGTTCCTGTGTACTTGGAGTACTTACGTTGGTCAAACTGATCAGTACATATACCTAGTGCGTAATGCATAACTACAGACATCTAACAAGAACAATACTTCCACATTTAAGAAATAATAAATAAGCATTATATTCTCGGGAAGCTGTCATCTTTACAACAAGTCGTTTGTTTGTATAAAGAACCGCAAGTATCCCCCCCTTCTTCTCACTCTCTAAGGTTCAGTCATCACGAAACTGCAACAGAAAAAGGAAGTGATACTAAGTACACGCACAACCTACCACACCAATGTGATCCCATAAATAAAGACTGACACATAGACAATACGAAACTGAGTGAAACAGATTAAAAGGTGAAGGAGGGATGTGTTAAAAAAAATGAAAATAAAAAGAATGAATGGGGCAAGCCGGGCTTGAACCGGCCACCTCCAGATCTTCAGTCTGACGCGCTCCCAGATGCGCCATTGCCCCATTGGTTGATGTCTTGGGAACGAGAAACTGCTACATGAAGGTAGAAAGGGGGTAAAGAAGAAAATTACTCTTTGGGAAGGCAATTGGGGCGGAGTATAGAGTAGGGTTGTTGGTCTTTTCCAGGGGGAAGTAGGAAGTAATTAGTAGATGGTCATTTGGGTAAGTATGGGATTCTTCATGTGGCTTTTTGCAGAACACTGAACAATAATAGGGGCAGGAGGGTGAAGATTAGGAAATACAGATTTTACAATGTTTTACTTGTCTTTGTCTGTTGTCTTTGTTGAATTTTCCCTTCATCTTTCTCTTATCGCAAACAAACTTATGCTGAATATCTGTTACGAGACTCGTAAGATGGAGTGAGTTGATCACCTAAAAATAAGGTAGCTCAGTGACGTTACCCCTACTAGCAGCATATAAACAAACTATATGCAGGACATAGAATATATATTACCAGGGTACGAAGCGTAAATCATTTAATCTGCTCTATATGACTGCTGTCATAAACACCCATAGCCAGCACTTCCCCTCATATATTCAAAGTCCTCAACAATGATCACTAATCAAGGGGCAATGGCGCATCTGGGAGCGCGTCAGACTGAAGATCTGGAGGTGGCCGGTTCAAGCCCGGCTTGCCCCATTCCTTTTTTTGTTTTATTTTCCTTTTCTCTCTACGTTTTTAAGTGTGGATATTAGTGCCGTTGGGGTTAAATTTGCATATTGTGGGAGAAGGCGATGTTGTGGGGGTTGTTATAGATTGCGCTAGCCGGACCTAGTTAGTCAATAAGTGTGAGGTCTTGGCTGGTTTGTTATGTAATTACTTAGTCAGTTGGTTGGTTGCTTGTGTGCCAGTGGGTGGGAGGTGTCCTTTTGTGCGATGGGTACGGCATCACTCAATTTGATATCAGAGACCGTGCTTTGTGTTTAATTGTGGGGTCTAGTCTACCTTGGAGTTTGTCGGTGATCAGCTTCTGGTGTTGAATGTATCGTGGTACTGGGCTGTGGTATGGCAGAGCGGATTTCGCCGGTTTGGAGGTGCCGGCGGGTGGTGTGGTTTATTTAGACTTCTAGAGGGAGGGTGAGGTAGATGTAGAAAGTACTAAGGTGTTGAATACTTGCTTCTGAAGCATGGTAGGCACTGGGTGTATATTGAAGTGAAGGAACGAGCAGCATGCATCTATGTTTGTCCTGGTGTAAAGCCTGATGGTTTCGGTTGGGACATTGACATGGAGCGAGCAGTCTGGGTGCCTGCTTATGGGGACATACCTGCGTCGAGTTGCAATACAGCAAACTGGAAAGGTAGGGACATGGATCAGAATCAGAACATGTCATGCTCGATAGTAGTATTAAATATACGCCCATCAATATTACTGTATTGATTTCGGTGCAAGTGCCATCAGAGTACTAGTAGACGGTCGACGGCGCCTAATAATTATATGCTAGTAAATGCCTCAGTATACATAGCCGTGCCTAACAACCCAAATGCGCAATTACCCATGGATAAGACCATTATAGCATGTCCAAAGTAATTACAGAATAACAAGTACAAGAAATAGTAACATAAAGTGCAATAATGTCACACACAGCGTCCGGAATGGCCTCGCAAATTGTACTTTTACTTCTGGGGAAAGGTCTACAAGAATAGTGAAAAACTCTCCTATAATACATAATCGGGGCAATGGCGCATCTGGGAGCGCGTCAGACTGAAGCTCTAACTTCGGCCATAGGCTTCGTCCGAAAGGACGTCCCTGTTAATCTGAAGGTGGCCGGTTCAAGCCCGGCTTGCCCCATTTCTTTTTTTTTGTCCTTTTTAGGACACGCATCGGCTTCCCACCATCCACTTCAACGCAATCTTCTATATGGGTCGGACCTTATTCTCCTTTGTTTCTTTATACTTTTCATTTCTTCTTCGTATTTGGCTTTTTTTTTTACCCAGTCTCTTTATTTACTTCAAGCCCCTCAAACCTTCTCGATCATTGCCCGGTCTCCCATCTACTTGCCGCACAAATAAACCAGACACCCTTGATTCCATGACCGTCTACATCCGCTATCCAATATGCTTGTCTTAGTATTCTTGACATTATTTCGGACATCCGCGAAATGAATAATCAATAAGCTTGTTCTAGAGCTGCTGTAGGTCCCTGGTCATGCGACCATTCACTCTCACATACACACAAAACAGCGGAAGCTGAGATTACTCCATGTACTCACAGTTCGGATAAATTGTTTTGTGAGATCATGAAAGTAACACATGTTGGAATCCCCAGATGGTTATGATGTTCACCTTCCTCATAATGCCGTCCAGGCTGCTGCAAGAAGAGAAATAAAGGAGAGACAAAGAGGGAGTGCGTGTTCTACTATACAAGTACGTGCAGATACGACCGTGACTTGTTCTCATACTTCTACACGGATGGCTGGAAACATCCACAGCATATCTACTAACACGCACGATAAAATATTATATATAGTTTATATCGTCGGTTTCATGTTATGCTGAACTGGTGGCAGGTAGTGCTGATGGTCATGCACGTCTGCAGAGCAGCAGATCAACAGGGATACCCCGACATCTGGAATGCGACTGCTGCTTCTGCTATTCAATGCACATGTGGAGGTAATGGCTATCCAGTATATTTAAAGTTTTCATTGTGTCCAAATAGAATGAAACAGGTAGAAGGAAAGCGGAAAGTCCATGTGCACCTGATGTAAACCTCATGAGTGTGGGTAAAGATCTCCAGACACGCTGGGACATAAAACCATCGCCATTCCCATTCGTAGACGCAAGGGGACACGACAACCACCAGCCAAGTGAACGAATTACAACCCATTGAAAAAACAAGCCTGCGTCTGATGCCTATTGGGAAAGGTACGTTCTAACTCTTCAACGCTACTACACCACCACTCGTCGCATACTCAAGATGGCCTGGGAATTGAAAGAGCCCGACGAGTACCAGAGCTCATACCTGTTCAAGTGGGGATCTAAGATAGCCAAGCTATTGGATCATGTCAAAGTCCCCTACGTAGCCTGGGGAGATTTGATGAACTCTCACATGATCCGAGACTCAGACACTAACTGGGGCTGCTTATCTTGGGTAAGCCAAACCAACCATCTAATAGGTCGAGTGAGGATAGAAAAAGGCTAACTGATCAATAATAGTATGGTCACCTTGGATTCGTGGTTTCAGATGATCGCTTTGATGCCGCTATACGAGCGTTGCGAATTGCTGGTTTATCTGAGGATAGTTGTTACCCTGAATACTGCCACTGGGCCAATGGCCCTGAAAGTTGCAGGCTTCCGTACCCGTGGCCTGCCCATCATTTCCATCACTATGTGGATGATGTAAAGTGGGTTCGCGGGAAACAAATCAAGTGCTACCCTGTCGGTCTGTATCGGAAGTCCCAATGGCTCTGGCTCTTGCCCGATCTTCCCCTCGACTTTCCTGAACCCAATGACCCTAACTTCATGCTCTCCACGGACCGCCGTCTTCCTGACTGGGATGTTGAGGGGTTCGGCAACTCGTTTCATCCCATAAAGCTTCTCACCCCAGTGCGATGGATAGAGTCACTGATCTGCCAGACGATAAGAGATTTGAGTCTAGAAGGCAACCGGGGCAGAGCAAGGCATATTCCCGTTGAAGAGTTTCATCAACGACTTGCAAGACAACTTCCCCCGGAACTTTTCCACCTTGACCTCCTCCAGCAACCATTTCGCACCATCTATAAGCTGTCAACGGTCGGGGATTTCGGGATGTATCCACTGCTGTGGTTGTGTCTCGACCGAATATGGGAAGAATGGCAGGAAGCTGGTTCTATGCCAGACCCTGTTCTCCCGTTCAATGATAAGACGAAAAAGCGGCGGATCGAGGAGTACAGATCGCAGCATGGTTTCTCACGCAATAAAGTTAGCGAGATGCTGCGTAACGGTATTTAGACCCGAGAATCGATCTTTCACTCACACACTCTTTTTCTCCTCTTTGGTCTTACCGCCAGAAGGTTCTTAGCGAGAACTTATCAAGCAGAGGGACTAGATGGGGTGAGCTTAGGTTCACAATGATATGTATTGTCCTAATCTAAAGCCTTAATGCTTACCACTTTGTTTATTAAAATCATCACTCTAAATGTGTTCCCTTCTGAAGATTAACTCAGTAAGAAGTACACTTCCCTCTCCTGGTCCTGAGAAAGAAATATTAATGAAACCTACTTCGAAATTGCTTCATAAAACATAAAGTGACGGGCAGGTAGAGACTTGACTGGCGTATGCTGATAACGAAAGAACATGTCACGCAAAGAAGCCGACTCATGGTGCTGGGATGATGAATAGTAGCGCCATCCCAACTAAGGATAGTACTGATCACACAGCTGCGCGACACTTCAGACATTCTGGGCTCTATCTTGACGTAATATTACGAAGATACCTGTTTGTCAATCCTGCCAATCGAGAGGTCATTGTAATAAGATCCATTGTATTTGACCCAGAGGGTGTATGTATTGAAACAAGCGACTCCAGCATGAGAATACCCGTGAGAATTCATGAAGGGCCCGGAAAATATATCCGCACTTGGGGCTTGGTGAAAATGGCAGGCACTACTACTAAGTAGTAGGGTCTATGGACCTCGGGGTTAACAGATCCCTTATTTTCTTAAGCCGAGGTTATTTCTACAAATAGACGATATCATGATTGGCATTGGTTTAAGTCTGGGTTACCGCGTGCTATTGCATGAAACGGCCCAGAGCCTGCTTGGATGTAATCGGAGTCCTCTCTTACTCCCTGTCATCTGCACGTATCAAGACCTTAACAAAAGCACGCCAGGTGAAGGTGTGCTCCTTTTTCGCTCTCTACCTTCAAAACTCTTCATAAAACCCTTTCTTATGCCGGACGTCATCGTAGGGTGTGATTGGAAAGTACTAAGCCCTTATTGTCATTCAATCCCAGCTCCTGTCCCATGCCGTCTCATCACAGCACACCCTACGTTCCCACTCAAACCCCAGCAAAAAGCAACCCACCTACAACCCGATCACTCTCGAGTAATGCTTACAGAAACTTAAGTAAGCTACCGATATACATAGCTGTTCTGTTTGCTTATCATCCTGGACTTTTCTTTGATGATCCTCGCTAGGAAATTATTGCTAGTATCTTGGAGTCTCCACTGACCATTGCCACGGGCATGAGTTTACGTGGCAGGGTGGCAAACACGGAAGACAGATTCCGATCCTATGCTGTTGGAGGTAATATAGTAAATCTTGTAGATTGACTAGAGGCTCCCTGCCTATCGCATTGCTTATACAGCAGCCCCCTTGAGGTCGGGCCGCTGACCGAGAACTGACACATTGACCACGGATATAGAACCGCCCTAGATCGTATGCCCGGATAGACTTGGAGATTGGGTAAAGATGAAGCTTAGAATAATAATTGGGTGAGGGATGGTCCGTGGTGATTACTAGTTTGGGCGGATGCTAAAGGTGGTCGGCGCCCAGTGCTCCTCTTGTCGAACGGGCCAGACACAGGGTTTATGCACTCCATAGCAGATTTGGTGACCAAAAACAGCTCCATCACCACGTGTACAGTCAGCGGCTAGACAGACAAGACGTTTCTCTTCGCGCGGCTGCCGGGTTATGATTCCGGTAACAGAGACAGGAGTTGGATTAGGACGATTGACTCCGTCTCGGCCGTCGACCCACCCTCTCAACCATGGAGCACCAAATGTAGCCAAAGACGCTTATGCGCCAAAAGCACGTCTGTAAATACGATGGTCAGGAGAAAATCGGCTAAAACAGGGCACGTTGCGCCCCATGGATCCAATTTCCTTGATTTGCTCCATGCCTCTGCTTCCTTCCCCCCCTCCCTCTCTCCCCTCATGGGGCTGGTCCCTGGCTCCTATCACGGAAATGGAGGGTGGGGACGACTTCAAGCTCGGTAGTTCTGTCAATTTGGGCATTATACCGAACTGACACGACAGGCGGATGGCTTATAAATTTGGGATAATAATCGTTCTACTGCACGTCGTGATTGTAAACGCCCATCTGCTATTTACTCTTTGTCTCAGAACCTAAACGATATCCGGACAACATGGAAGGTTTCGTCCGCTCCGAGTTTCTAGGCACGGTGTTCGAGTCTACAAAGCGGTAAGTTCAGCTAGAAGTAACCTGCCTTGACGCTAAGTAACAAGTCTGACCTTGATTGTAACTATTGGGTAGATACGGAAACTTGCAACCCATTGGCCTGGGTGTATATGGTCTTGTTTGGTAGCCCTGCCCTGTTTTTTCTTGATTTCTGCTGGGACGAGAGAGGTTGTGAGTGAGTGAGTGAGTGAACGAGGTTATGACTGACAATTCAATCCAGCTCGGCACATGATCAGATTACGGGACAGGCAGTCGCCATCAAGAAAGTCATCAAGCCGTTCGAGACTGCCACAGTGGCAAAGCGTACCTTCCGAGAGGTGAAACTCTTGAAGCATTTCCGACACGAGAATGTATGGCGAGCTCATCCATCCACCTCTTACATACCTTCTTCATTCTGACTATCTACAGCTCATCGGTCTTTGCGACATTTTTGTCTCCCCACTGGAGGACATGTAAGTACCCACAAACCCTCCATGTTTTCACACAGCACCGACAACTGTCCGTCAGCTATCTAGTGACTGAACTCCTTGCGACGGATTTGAATCGACTGATGAGATCCAAGCCTCTGGAGCCCCAGTTTGTTCAGTATTTCACTTACCAGATCTTGGTAAGTTAGCGGAGAGGTAACTCCGACAGGGTGCCAGCGCCCAGAAATGACTAACTTCGTCTCCATAGCGTGGTCTGAAGTACATCCACTCCGCCGGCGTGATCCATCGGGACCTCAAGCCTAGCAATATTCTGGTCAACGAGAACTGCGACCTAAAAATATGCGACTTCGGGCTTGCACGAGTGAAGGAACAACAGATGACCGGCTATGTGTCTACACGCTATTATCGAGCACCGGAAATTATGTTGACATGGCAGAGATACGGTGTGGAGGTAGACCTCTGGAGTACTGGGTGCATTCTTGCCGAGATGCTCACTGGAAAGCCCCTGTTTCCTGGGAAGGACCATATAAATCAATTCTACTTGATCATCGATCTCTTGGGCAATCCTCCCGATGGAGTCATCGATCGAATTTGCAGTAAGAATGTGCGTCTCGAGAAATCACCATTCATAACAGTCCCACGCTCACCTGAATAATAGACGGTACAGATTGTCAAGTCGCTCGGGAAGAGACAATCACGCTGTCTAAAGACAATGTTCTCTGGCGTCGATGAAGCTGGTATGTGAAATTGTGTTCAGGCATGGAGAACGGACCACTCTACTTACCGAAACTTGTGGTACAGCTGTGGACCTTCTCGAGAAATTCTTGATCTTCGATCCGCACGCCAGGATATCGGCCAGCAATGCTTTAGAGCACCGCTATCTGCAGATATATCATGATCCCACCGATGAACCTAGCGTTGAGAGACCGTTCGATTGGTCGTTTGACGGCGCTCAACTCTCCAAGGAGACCCTCAAGCTTATGATGCACGTTACTCCGGTGTCTTTACTGCATGCGTGCTACATACTAACATAGAGCATGCAGATATTCAGAAGTGCTGGATTACCACCAATCCGACGAATTAGCCCATCCGGTTACCTTTGCTGAAGAGCCGAGGTCGGGAGCTGATCTGCTCCCGAATTTCAGCACATTTCCCGTGCTAGGACGGGAGACCGATACAAATCCGGACTCCACGTTTAGCCTCTTGGAGCCTTGGTCCACGTGGGACATTGGTGATCTTGATCTATCAATACCGGCAACAGATTACGTGGACCCAGCTGGTCCTAGTTTATCGACAACAATCGGGTGAGCATGGAACCACCAGTGACAAAGTTAAGCCTGGGGGTCGAGAAGATTTTGTAATTTCGATACCTTGGAAGAATACTAAATGGCATGACGGAAATCTTTTACCCTTTCTCCCCCCCCCTTCCCCGTTGAGACTACCAGATGATATTGGGACAGATTAGAAGCCACATTCTGGTTCGTGTACTGTATTGGAGTCGTGCACATTTCCCAACTCAGTGAAAAGCGAACTTCTTCTCGTCTGAGGGTCCAAACAGACAGCGACCATACTTGGCCCCGTAGACGGGATGGTATGGGTCTTCGATACTCGGAATTAAGGCCATCTCACCCCTAGATCCGCGGAGTTGCACCGAGTCGTGCCTGACGGGGCAGCTTCTGGGAGCGTTCATGGTAATTCCGGTCCTACATTCATTTTAACAGTATATGTACTGAATTGGGAGTAGGGCGCTTTAACAGTAAGTACAATCCGTTGGGGAAATAAGCGTTGAGGTGACAGTCCATTCCACCGCGAACCGATATCGCACCAGGCCCCGATCTTTGGGAAGGAATCATGGAGATGTAAACAGCCAAATTGACCCAGTCTAACCGATTGTAAAGAAACCACCACAGACCAAAGCAACGCCCCGGCCGAGAAGATGTCCGATGGATAGGCAACTCCCCCTGCCCCATCCAGGCTAGCTCTGTCCATCTGAACTTAATCTGGTAAGGATTGAAGCCGCCACCCCAGTTACCAAGTGCTTATTCACCACAGGCAGTTCATTTGGCCAACTAGCTGGCTGTCCTACAGAATACATCCCATAGTAGCTTACAGCTAACCTGGCTGGCTAGCAAGGGAGGGTTTGCCCTTGGTTATTGGGCGCGGTATACACAAGTGACTGAGTGGAGCCTTCCCAATGGCCACGTCGGGCCGAAGGGGGGTGGCAAAAGTCACCCATACAGGAGAGGAGGGTGTGTAGAGCTGGAGGCCTTTTCCACGCAGATCTCGGACGGTGGGGCTGTTTAGTACTTTGTAAAGTCGATAGGCCATCAGATCTAGATCTACTCTTTACTGTTTGAGAGTCTAAGCGAGGTGGGGAGTGGAGCCGGTCATGCCCGGTGTGCACTCGAAGTCTGGGACCACCCGTTATCTACTAGACTAACCCCCAACAACTTGAACACACTAACTAAAAGCTAACACCATGTCAGAACTAGAAGTCACAATGCCCTGGTTGAGTCTTTCCAATCGACTGATGGAAGCCATCACTGGTGAGCCCCGGTTTTTTTTTTTTTCCCCTTCCCTTCGACTCCACTGTCAGGTGGCAATATGTCGGCCGCTTTGCCACATCCCTATTCATCCATCTACTTTTACTGTGTGTACCACGGGGGTAAAAAAGTAGTAAAGCCTAGTCAAGCCAGTACTCGTGCTCAACTAGAACTAGCGTCATGGCGTATTCTCCACTGACTTCAAACGTTCAGCCCTTGTGGATGCGAAGGCGCCTTTGAAGTATGATAGCATATTGGAGGCTCTGTCAGCCTCTTTGGCCAGCAACAACTTTGCACCCAAGGCGTTGAAAGGCTCCCATAAGTTCTTTCCGTTCATGCCTCTACCTCGATATGGAGACATCACCACGCCCTTAGCTGTCTTTCACCTCCCGCTACCTGGAGAGGGTGGCATGTCAATATGCTGACATGCCTCAACACAAGGACGATTTCCCGATTCGGAAAGCCTGTGTACGTACTGTGAGTGTCTTTCGGTGTTGGAAGCCCTCTTCGGAAGTTCCGAGGCTTGGTACCCGCTACGGTCTACCAGTTCCACCGATGATACCTACTCAGAAGATACTAGTACTGGGCCCCCTTGAACCACCAACTCGTCTGTACGGGGTAAACGCCCTTCTTCCCTGTCTGACTACTGAGGTAGGGCTCGGCTGTACTTTTCCGCCCAAACATCCAAGTCAAACAAACTCTATCACAGAAGATATCTGATCTTCCCCCCCTAAACGGCAGCGACTGTTGCTGCTATCTTACAATGTGGGCAGGCCACACGGGCACGCTCTACATTTTGACGCCTCTGGAGGATGTTACTCCTTATATTAGTATGGACTATACTTTTCAGCTGCACACAGCAAGGTCAGCCACTCCAATGGGTGAAGACAATGGCCGCGATATAGTCTCCAGCCCACGCAGTCGTAGATGTCATCATACGACGCTCAGCTTTCTGTGGCTTTCGGACTTGATACCTGGTCAGGCAATCTTCTCGAAAGAGGCTTAGCGGAGAATTGCTTAGGCCCGAGATCGGCCAACCAATCGTCACTACTCGTTCAGTACTACTTACTCACTCAATCCCCTGCGAAGAACGGAATACTGCTTATTGATTGTTATTTTTCTGGTGCTAGGTTAATCCTACTTTCTCGTCAGCCAATCCACCTAGGCCAAATGCATTCATCACTGGGTTCGGATCGGCAAACACCACGAGGGGCCCACATGATAAGCATCCTTCTGTGTCTGGTATAGGATTAATTCCCGCTGCTCCATTCAACCCCCTCTTGAAGTGACCACTAGACTATGCCATGCCATGCCATGGCACATGGCCATTGTATAAGTGAAACACTTGAGCATATTTTCCCCGTGGAGACTATATCCCCACCTGGCAACCGAAGACCCCCACTGTCTGGTCTCGACTCTATTCCACAGACTGGCTGGACCTTCCGCATGAAGAACATCCTTTGTACACCTACACCAGGTCTGACCTACATCGAGGATAGAGTCTATTCTCTACATCTTGCTAGAGGTATCAGAGAGATCGGCTACTCTCTACATCGTAATGGAATCTCTTTTATCTACGGCAGTGAAAGATTCGTTGTCATAAACGAATATGTATCCCAAGATTTTTAAACCCAAATTCAATGACAGTCTGTATCCAGGGTTTGAAGAAGAAAGAAAACAATAGCTGCATGTATAATTGAAGGATGAATTTGACCTTTTAAAAGATTGCAAAAGAATGAGAAGGATGGGGTAATAAAACTTCAGGAATCAGGAGGGAGAGGCAACGTGAGAACCGCTATCAACAATACGGAGATGTTCCTCCCACTGCTCCTTAGATCTCTTTCCCCACCATCCTCTTTCCTGCGAGTCAACGAAGTTTTTCAGAATGTCCTCAATCACTTTCTGAAGGTTTTCAGACCACCGATGTCCTGGTTTCAGCCGGCTGGCTAGCCTCCACACGGTATCGGCGCTGCAGGACGGCTGCACCATTTCCAATAGGACTACATGTTCAAGCGGGAGGAACGGAATGAAGACATTGCCTTCAAGCTCATCCAACGACTTGTCCTCCGTCTCGAAAGCGTCCTGGAAAATTCTCATATCGGGAGTGTAACCAGGATGCGTCTCTCTTCGAGCACGAGAAGCAGTGATCTCAACATTGACCGGCATGCCCAAGCGATAGGGACTGGCCATGGTCACCACAGAAGTATCGTTGGAGTCGGGCTTCTTGAAAATCCCGGATTTATCCTCGACGAGTATGTCTGCGAGCTGTTGGGCGGAATCGTTACCGTGGCTACAGACATGGATGGTGATCTTCATTAGATACAATGAAGTAGTAGCAATTAGCAAGCTATCTCCCGAAATGCTTTGAGGGTGGGGTATATGATGGAGTAACAGGTGGAGGAAGAGGAAAAGGAAAGAGTATCGTACAGTCCCTGCCCATCGCCGGACGCCGTGGTGGTAATGGCAGTAGTCGCCAATCACGAACATTTTGGAATTTGCGAATTCTCCATGTTTGCTCAGTACGGTAAGAAGAAATCGTAATGTGGGTTCAGATGGTCCGCATATGTAAAATATGAGGCTATTGAGGAAATTGATCACGATGTTCAATGGGGACATGGTTGCGGTGGAATAGGAGGGGATGGAGATGGTTCGGGTCTGCAGTGGTAAGAGCTATGAATCAAAAAGAATAGCTTGTGGTCTTTGCGTTGCTGGAGGATTTCTCTGTATACTTATAAGGCGGCCCTTATGATACATTCAAGTCGATCCTGTCTGTGCCCCTCACTGCCCCTCACCCTAGAGGCGTTTATTCTGCTGTGTCTCTCAAGCCCAGATGCATCCCACAGCGACCGTGAAGTGAAGTGTTGGCATAAACAGAGCCTATAGGCGCACTTCGCCTGTCTTGACTTCGTCATCGTAACGATGGATGGACATCTTGGCCTCTTAAGGTCCAGCGCCCTCAAACGCAACTGGTTCTTTTGAAGCAGAGTCGGCATCATGAGGGCCCATAGCCACGCCTCGCCTGCCAGAATTCCGTTATTGACAAGGTGGATGAAGTTGTCCTGCACTCTTAAGGTTCGGCGCGTTCACGTAAATGATCCGGCTCCTCAATGTCTTTTGGGAGCAACGTCGGCACCACGGGGACGGATCCATAGCCATGCCTCGCCTGTCAGAATTCCGTTATCGTAAAGGTGGATGAGGGTATGCTGCAACGCTAAGGTTCGACGCGTTCACATAACTGGTCTTGCTTTTGCTGCAAATTCAAAGGTGGTATCGGCATCGTGGGGACGGACCTATAGCCATAACCTGCCTGCCATGATTTCGTCATCGTAAAGGCGAATTGAGGTATCATGCAGTCTAAGGTTCGGTGCGTTCACATATCTGGTCCTGTTCTTCATGCGAAAGCTCAAGCGGCATGAGACGAGGTGGAATCCGATGGAATTAGATCGGCAGATCTGAAGTGCTGTTAGTCCATATCATTGAACTTTGCAGTCAATCTCCCCAAGCATACTTTTACGTTACACAATGTCTTAGTCGAACACTCAACGACTTGCGAGAAATTTCTGCTCCAGCCTGAGCGACCCAATTTGTACCCACTGCACCATGGGATTTGCAGCTACCAGTCATGTGCGTGATGTAGGGGCATCAACTGGATGGAGAGATGGTGATGAAAATGAGAACTACCGACCAGTGGGTGGGACAGCCATTGAACTCTAGAGGGAGTAGAGTGAGATTGAGAAGACAATCCATCGATGAGGGGAATTGATCCAAACAATGAAGGCGCCGAGCCAAGCCCCTGAAGGCAGGCCATCCATGTCCAATAAGCCGGGCCCAAGGTCTTGGGCCAATCAGTGATGAACGGGGAAAAATGGGAAATGGACGAGCAGAGGAAGAAAGAGTGCTGCTCGCCATCGGAGGTTGGCAACTTAGGAAGTGAGACGTACTACCTACCCAATGGGAGTGCCTCTTGCAGACCGCTTCATGTTCTCCTGGCTGTGGCATTTACTTTCCGTCCGCTCACTCACCATGTGTATCCTAGATGGCTCGAGAAGAGACCTGTCAGCTCTGTCATTAGCCGTAGGCCCTCACAACTTGGCAACTTGTATACGGCCATTAGAAAAGATGCTCGACTTCACCGTAGCCCCAGGTTGGCTTCCCACATGTAAAAGATCAAGCCCATACATAGCCAGTAGAACTAGCTATGGCAAAGCAGTGAAGATTGTTGTAATGCTGACTGGTGTATGGCTTGATACTTCTTCAGCTTTCTCTGGGTGTTGGATGCGGAGTGAAGCGTAGGGATCTTTTGGCACATGCTCATTTTTATCCCACCCAAACCTTCCTACGAAATCGCTGCTGCAGACCAGAAGGAAGCCCTTAGGAGATGCGGCCATCCCGAGTGACGTCTCGCGTGTTTCATTTCCATCATAATTTAGGTTCAAACCCATATGAATAGAGTCAGTTGATCGGACGAGAAGGCTGAGGGTACACCAGTTTGGGAAACCGGTGTGAGATAAGGGACGACCTGAGTCCGATGACAGAGGCAAACGTAGTCAGCATGTCTGCATCCCAGGTTGGACAAGGATGGTGGCTTGCAGAACAGCGTATAAGAGTTGTCTTTCCTAGGCACAAATCCGATAGCATCCGATAGCGCCACCTCCCCAGAGAACTGAAGAAGTACGCCCCTCCCCACAAGAAACGAGGGGTAGGCAACCATCAGGGACCATCTACCCCTCGTGGAGGTTGCACATGTCCAGACCTGTAACCATATCGAGAATTAGAGGCCTAACCGGACGGCCGACATCAACCGATCGGGTCATGGACTGCAAGCCACACGACGCAGTAATTTGACAACCAGACTCTCCGGGCAAAATATGCTCAGGAACTAGGCCTGATCCGGTCTGGGTGCTGCTGTTTTCTTTACCTATCTCACCTGTCAAAAACTGTACGACAATTCGTTGTTGTCATCGGACAGCCTTTCATAGCAAGATTGAGATCACCACTGCTCTTCAGCATACCTCTAGGAAGCTGAACGGCCATCTTCTTTTTCTTTTTTTTTTCTTTTTTTTTTTTTTCTTTTTTCGGTGGTTATCTGCTGTTTCGTATTCCGGAATGAGAGTTGTAGACCTGTAAGATACTTATCGACCTGAGACAACAGCCACAAGTCACGGCATTTATTGCGCCCTATCCATCCATTGACCTCTTCCTAGAATAAGCAATGATTACATAGAGTGATTCACGTCATCGGCTGCAACTTTATCGCCGTTGTTCGTCAACTACACTATACACAGTGCATTCGGGTATGACGCGGTGGCACCATGACATCGGCTCTAGACAGCCATGCAGATCCCCTAACAATTCAATCAGTCATAGGCCCTATATATCGGAGAATAGTTGAGTTTCTCACCTCGCATACTATGTGTTGGTAATGATTTTGGGGTCCGCATCCTCTCCATAGTAGATCAACAAGGATACGGGCTCTGCAGCCTGGTTCAGAAACTAGGCTTAGGCTCTGTTATGGTACGACCAGTAGAGGAGAGAACCGAATGCATATTTGTCGATCATTTCATTCTTGGTTGAACTAGATTGTCAGTAAGTTTTTCAGACCGACCGGACTTTAGTGGTTGTCATCGTCCGCTTTTCTAGGCCTGTCCCTTCTCTCTCCATGAAACGACTTGCACCCATATTCCCAGACAATGTGGGAAGAGGATTAGCACGTGCCAAAGACGCTAGCTTTGTAAGTGGGGTAGCAGAATGTGCAAGTACGCATCCTTTAGACTTGGATGAAGGCTCGGGTGTTGAAAAGAGGAGCGTGTAGGAAACTTGCGGTTGAGATGCATGGCGGATTCATCACCTGACCTGCTTTAGCATGGAATTTATAGACAAGGTGCCTAGGTCCGTGGTAAGAGATTTCTAGAATTCTAAGGAGGTTACTCCGCTTAGCTATAAATACGGTCTAATTATGCGGCATCGATACGAGTAGAATGAAAGGTAATAGCATCTTCAGCCAAGGGAGACCTAGTAAATGATATCCTCTAAGCCGCAGCGGGAGTAGATACATAGCATAATAATGACGGCCCGGAGACCAAGGCCCGGTGGCATCATGTAAATAATCGTGACGCTGACCGAATTAGACATAGATACCCATGTTCGTGTCCTTCTTCTTTGCCTGTACTTCCGAAATGGCATCCACGTAGTTCTCGTGTCCTACTTTGCTCATGCCCTTCCGGAGAGCAATCATACCTGCCTCCACGCACACGGCCTTCAGCTGAGCACCGCCGAACTCGTCGGTACTGCGGGCCAGTTCCGCCCAGTTAACCCGGTCATCCACAGCCATTTTGCGGGAGTGAATCTGCAGGATGTTGGCTCTCGCCTCCTCGTTGGGTAGCGGGAACTCGATCTTGCGGTCCAGACGACCGGAACGGAGCAGGGCGGGATCGAGAACGTCGACACGATTCGTGGCCGCGAGAACCTTGATGCGATCGTCCGAGGCAAATCCGTCGAGCTGGTTGAGAAGTTCAAGCATGGTTCGCTGCACTTCACGGTCACCGGACTTCTCGGAGTCGAACCGCTTCGTACCGACCGCATCCAGCTCGTCAATGAAGATGATGGAAGGTGCCTTCTCCTTGGCAAGGGCGAAGCAGTCACGAACGAGTTTCGCACCATCACCGATGAACATCTGCACCAACTGCGGACCGGCAAGCTTGAGGAAAGTGGCGTTCGTCTCTGCTGCACAGGCTCGGGCAAGAAGTGTTTTACCAGTACCGGGAGGCCCATACATTAGAGCACCTGAGAAAGTGTGTCAGAAGACCCGTGCTAGGCTGGGAAATCCACTATTACATACCTTTCGGTGCCTTAATGCCAAGCTTCTTGAACCTGTCAGCTTCCTTCATAGGCCATACGATAGCCTCCACAATCTCCTCGATTTGCTTATCCAAGCCACCAATGTCGGTGTACTTCTCCGTCGGCTTCTCATCGACCTCCATGGCCTTGACACGGTTATCGTACTCGGCAGGTAGCGTATCCAGGACAAGGTATGAGTCCTTGTTGACACCGATCAGATCACCAGGCTTCAGCTTCTCGTGATCTACTAGACCAATGAGAGGAAGATAGATAGTCTGGCGGGTCGACGTCTTGATGACAGCCGACTTGCCCACCCGCGTAGCATCAAGGTCAATGTTCGCCCCCTCCTCAGCCGCCTCAGCTTCAACATCCAAATCCAAAAGCTCGACGACGTTTCCGACCAGGTAGGGTAATTGCCTAGCAGACGGACAGTCAGTAAAAGACCCGGCTTACGCCGCAATTGCCACCGCGTCGAACAGGCGCTGGCGGAACGGAAGACAACCGGAGCTTACCTGTTGTTCTCGATCTTTTCTTGGTTATCCTTGACTTTCTCTCGCATCGTGTTTTGCTCGTGAGTCAGGCGCTGGTATTCGCTCTTCATTATACGCAGCTC